TCCTTCGTGAGGCTCCGGCTGTGGCTGATAAATCACTCCTTTTGGCTTATGAATAACATGGCAAAACAAATTACTTTGGGGACCTAAAAGGAAGTTGTTGGCCTTATGTAAACTCAATTGGAGTGTCATGGAGCAGACAGCTCTGGAGGCGTCTACAAATGCCTTCCACGGATTATCCCCGAAGTCAAGTCACCAAGAAGGCAGAACAGGCTCCATGTTTTGGTTTGCAAATGAGTTTTGAGAAATGGCCTTGAGATCTCGAGTTGTTGCCAGTTTTCCCATCACAAACTGTAAAGAACTTTGGGAATGCCACAGGGAGGGAAGAGGAGGGGAGAGGAAGGAGTTGGGATGCTGGTTATTTACTGCTCTGAGCCCCAAGCAGGTACACAGGATTAACAACCTCCCACTACTCCAACCACATTTAATTTCAGTCTGAAAATAACTGCCTGCTAATAAGCCACACAGTTCACCATCATCTCAGCGAGGATGTACAGTTACTTGGACTCACTTAACACCACGTGGTGACTATAAACAGGTAACAACTGAGATTCTGGTAATGGTGTCTTGTTTTAAATTTTACATTTTTATAACATGGTTTTAAGACTATCAAGCATGTTGACATGAAATCCCAGCATTGAATGGAGCATTTCCCTGTCCTTTCCGCTGTTCAGATGTCTAGGAGGGATGGGGTCAGCTGTCCTGACCTACGGGGACTCAGGGGTGATGGAGGGGACCCTCAGTCCAGACCTGGTCGGTTTGTGCAGAGCCTGAAAAAGCCATGGGGCATGTGTTGAGACAGGGACCTGAGGCCGGCTCTGGGGATTGCCAAGATCCCATCCTGTTTCCAGGCAGAGTTCTGCAGATTCATGGCAGCAATCTGTGGGAGCAGAACTCCAATTTTATGTCCAAACAGATGCAGCATGCAAATCCACTCTTTCCCCAAGAATAGCAAAGACAGGTATTTGGGTCAGCTGGAGAAAAGAAAAACAAAACACAACTACCGGCTCCCTGCTCTTCCTGCTTTCCAACATGGGGTGGGGCTAGTACAGTAGCAGAGTTGCGCTTTATTTGTTTAAACCTTGCAGACTCTGTAAGCATGCATGGTCCTCTTGACTTGTGCTGCCTGGTGGTAAAAAGAACAGTTGAATGAGCTCATTGTTTGCCAGCTTTTTTCTTTAATGTATTTTACAAACACTCGCGGTGACAGGCCTGACACGCAGATTTCTATGTCCTCCTTCAGTCTGGGATTACAGCATTAATAACACAGTTCCGTGCATCGTGCCATTTTTAAGCATGATCGTTATGATAAAGGGCATATACTTAATTACAGGCCTGCTTAATTACAGCTCTGTTGAAGCTCGTTTGTTTAGGAGAATGCTAATTGCGCTACGGAGCCCGCGGCACAGCCTCGCTTTCATCTGCTCCATATCGCTCAGTCCATGGATCAGCATTTTGTTAAAACTGCCACAAAACATGTTTTTAAAGAAATTTTTAAAAAGAAGAAACCAGTGGGCTGATACTAAAGGGACACCTACCCAGAGAGTGGCTGGGGGCCACAGTACCCAGCAACAATCCCCACATGCCAGGCACCTCATCTCTGTTGTCAGATTTTGTGTTTTAACGCACAGACGCCTTCAGAATGAGCTGCTCAAGTATTAGACCCATTTTACAGACAGGACAGCAGGACCCAGAGCTGTGTGGCCCTGCCATGGACATACAGCCATGTACTAAGCTGGAATTGAAAATTCACTTCTGAGCTCCCAAGCCCACCCTTCCACACCATAGCCACCACAGCACAGGTGCAGGGCAGGCTGTGGTTCTAAACCCTGGCTCTGTCCCAACTCCAGAACGCCTCCACGCCTCACTTCCATGAATAGAACTTGCAAATGGAAATGCTGAAGGTTAGAGTATTTGATGCAAGTTCATGACCCAGTCCATGGAAAAGAATCTTGGGTTTCAAACCTTTCCTCTCTTTTTTGCAATGGACTGGGAGAGAATTCCTGTTACCTCCCAGGATTGGGGGAATCTTTATAATGTCACCCTGGGGACCCCAAGGCCCGAAGAAAGGGCCAGTTACCAGTGCTGGAAAGGCCACCATTGGTGCCAAAGAAGGAAGACAGGCGTCAACCCTGCTTCTGGGTTGTGGCCATGCACAGGTCAAGCAGGAAAGAGAAGCCCTAACTCCTGCTGACTGGCAGGGCAGAGAGGCCCTGTGAGCTGTGACTTCTCTCAACTGTCACCAGGTCCATCAACAGTGTGTGGCCTTGAATAGAACAGTAGAGGGGAAAACATAAAACATACCAGCTCTGGCCAGGGAAGGAGACAGGAAGAGAACAAGGCTTCTCAGGAGAGTGGGACGAAGATCACTTGTGAGCAGTCTTGGGAAATCACATGAAAATACATGCCATCGATTTTAAGGATTATGTTTGCCAAATCTCTGGATGGTTTCAAATATAGAACAGCCCCCGAGATGAGAGGGCTAGGAGAGGCCTTAGCCTCCCATAGCTGAACTCTGCAATGCATGCAGACCCTACCCAGACCCCAACTAGCATTAGCACTCTGCCTGTTCACTCTGCTTGGTGCCTCTTCCAGGAAGAAAGTGAGGCCCCTGAACCAGGGCTGATCTGACCAGCCCTTCTCCCCGAGGCTCTGGGTTCCTGGTAGACATTGGCTTATGCCCATCAGAGGCCCAGTCTGCACTCTCCACGTGCCAGGCACAGTGCTGAACTCTTGGTGTCAGGCAGGAGCACAGGTGGTAAAGGAAAGTGGCGGGGGTCTCCCCTCCTTGGAGCAGTAGTCCCGGTCAGCTTCTCCTTTTCTTCATGGTATCAGTTTCTGGTCCCTTGCTGTCCTGCCTGTCTTCAAGGCTGTGAGAATGATCATGAGAGAATGTCCTGTCAGCACTGGAGGCACAACTTAGGCTTGAGCAGACCAAGACCAGTGGTGCTCTGGTCCTGCAGCCGAGCTGTGAGGCTGTGGCCTGGAGGGCACTTTCCTTGCTCCATCATCAGATCACAGATGCCTTCGAAGCCCTTTCCCCTTTCTCCCTTACATGTCGTCTTTTCCATCCTGCGTGGCTGGACCTAAACTACAGGATGCTACGTTGACCCCCACCTCATGAACTCGACCCTCTAGTGTAGCCCACATCAACATTCTGAGTCCTTTATCAGATTTCACTGTTAGCCAATTAGCAAGCGGTCCTGCCGGGCCCCCCATCAGTCAAGAGTCTTTTGGGTTGCTGACAGTGCCCTGACCCCACTCAGAGCAGTCTCCATTGCCTAGGCCCACTAGGTAAGGATTCTGTGAGCCATACCTGTTTCTGCTGTTTATCCGTATCATGTACATGAGAACTTTTGTCAGATGCCTTCCTAAAATCTGCGTGCTTTCAGCTGACCATAATCTTTGATATACTAGATTTTAAGTTTTTACATTTATTGTTACTATGTATGTGCATATATGATATCAGGGTGTGGGTGAGGTGTATGCATGTGTCACAGCACACATGTAGAAGCCAGAGGACAACTTTATGGAGTCCGTTCTCTCCTTCTACCTTTATGTGGTTCCAGGGATCAAACTCAGGTTGCTAGGCTTGTTCAACAAGCACCTTTACCTGCTGAGCCATCTCACTGACCCAAGTAGATTTTTTTAATGAAATGTGATTATCAGGAGTGGCCTGGAGGTCCAGTGCCAGCCAGCACTGCCGTCTGCCCCTTCCTGAAGTCATTATGGGCAAATTTGACATGAGCAAGGTTGGGCGCATCTTGTTGATCAAAGATGCTAGGACGCTATTTTTCTCCTGTGTCTCCTTCCCTCTCTCCACTTCTGCTGCTCTCCTTCCCTGGGGCGCTTCGTGCCAGGGAAGGCTTCACTTCAGAAACAGGGAGGTGCACGTCAGTTCCCAGGAAACTGTTCGGAGGCCTCTGTTCTGCTCGCTACATTTCTTCCTAAAACTATAATCTCTCAAAAAATGTCCCTCTCACTGTAGGCTGCAGGTCCCTATGCTGCAGGCCAGATCTGCAGGCTGAATTTGACCTTGCCTCAGCCCTGACTTTGCTTTGTTCTAAGACAAAAACCAGACAGCATCTGAACAGCCCACTTGTGTGCCCTCGGGTCACATGTAAGGGCCCTGCATCACACCTCTTTCTCCTCCTTGGCAAGATTTCCACCAGGCGTGACACCGGCAGTCCCCTTCTCTAATATTAGTATTCATGGAGACACACTGGGTGGCAACTTTCTCCAAGTGCCTTTGGCAGTGGTGACCTGGACTTGTGGTAGATTGTTGGGGATCGGGTACAGAAAGGAGCTGCCCCTCCAGGCCCCTGGATTCCTCATTCATTGGGTACCCATTCCATATCAATCACATTGGCAAGCCTTGAGTCATCCCTGAAGCCTGGGACTGGGACAGAGGATCAGTGGTGGTGGCCATGACTGCCAGGCCCTGGGTGTGCTCTACTGCAGACCCACAGTACACCTTCTAGCCATAGCCAAACTTCCTTTACACATGACTTCACATGCTCACTAGAAGTCCCAACCAGGACTGAAATCCAGTTATCCTGACTCTAGAACTGGTTAGCTCACTGGGAGCCCAGCACTGCCCAGGAGAGGATCCTTGGCTCAGCCCAGAGAACGTACAATGAACATGCTACTGCCAGTTTCCTCCCAGGGTGCACCTCTGTCCCCCCCAGCTGTGTATCATTTCCTTCTGTCGTTGGCCTCTTGGTGGCTCCCACCACCTACAGTGGAGGCCAGACTCCTGGGTGAGGTGGGAGGGGCTCCTACCATGCTATTCCCTGAGCCCCATCTGCATGTCTGCCTGCACACAGAGGATGCGCCACCAGGCATCTGCTTGTGGTCACCTGGTCCCACCCCATAGCTCCCATTCACTTGAGCTGGGCATCACCTGCCTTCATCCAGGGACTGATTGGTCCTCCGTGTGCTGACAGCTTGGGTTCCTGAGCATCAATGGTGTCTTCAGTGCCTTCCTCCTCTTTCTTTTGCAGCAATGGATGGCGTGCCTTTTATGATTTCAGAGAAGTTTTCCTGTGTTCCAGAAAGTGTAAGTTTTATACATGAGCCCCTCCTCTTCTGCCCCTGTGCACATGCACTGTTCTTGGCGCCCTTCCATTCCCTGGGCCCATTGAACTATTTCTTTCTGAGGGTCCTCTGATCCCCTGGAGACTGAACCCCCAAAGCAGAAGGCCCAGTTCCTGAGAGCTGGGATGAATTCTGGTCATCTCTGAGCCTTTCTACTCTGCCTGCACCTAGCAAGTGCTTGCAAAGTGGAAGAAAAGAGTGAGTGAGGCCTGTGGAGAAGAGCGAGGTGTTAAACGCTCGCTCATACAGCTGGGCCTTTTCATTCCACGTGCAATGGTAAATTGGGTGTCTCACCAGCTGTGGAGGGTGTCTTTCCCAAGTTCAGCTCGTCATTTTAGCGTTTTTATTTCACAGTGACGGAGCCTGCCCTGGATTCCCACTATAATTTCCTCATTCTGTGTGCACTACATGCTCTGGTTCCTAGTGCCTCGTACCTCTGCTTGTGGTGTCTGTTTGCCACCAAGCTCCAGGCTGAGCCCCGAGTCCACTTGGGTGAGAGAAGGACTGAGCCAGCCAAGAGCAGAGTCCAGGCAGGATCCAGACCATGAAAGGCACCTGCCGTAGTCAGGGCCTCGAGCTGGGCTGGCGTCTTCTCTTGACCCTTGGTCCTTAGAGATACCTCTCAGACAGCCTGGTCCCCAGGACAGCCCTGGCCCTCCCTCAGCTGTGTAAGCCTGGCCCATGCTGGGTTAGTAATCTTGTTCCTGGCTTTTATCCTTCCTGAAGATGATTGCCTTGAGGAGTTACTAAACACCAGGGCCCAAGTCTGGGCACCAGCTAAAGACTCCTCCGGTGTGTTTTTCTTAGACCCAGCTTACCACCACCAGGCTGGCGATCTGACCTGCTCTGTCGTTTCCATTTTCGTGAAATATAATAGGCCTCCTCTGAACCCTTCTGGTAAGCAGCTTAATCTTGAAAAATGCTCCTGACATGACATGTGGAGCCTGAGGAACTTCCTCAGACTCTACTTGGCCACGTTGCCATGGAGATGCTGGCACCTGCCTCCACTCACCAGCTCCAGTTGGGAAAGTTTAGTGGAATAGTTAGAGCCTAACGATGCAACAGCTGGACCTCTGCTGGATCCTGGGCAGGGCAGGCGAGCAGCCCCATCCTCATGCCATGCAGGCTGGCAGCTCCATCGGAGCCAGACTGTTTTGTGGCTACTGGTAGAGCAGCCCCAGGAGCTCAGGGCCTAATTTGGTGGCCCCATCCCAAGTTCACCCTCAAGAATGTGCTGCTGCCAACTCAGCACGTACTCAAGGCCACGGATGCAGGCCAAGTCCAGTGCTAAGCCCTTCCAAGCAGTTCTCTGTTTAATCCCCTGCAGTCCAACCAGAAGGGCCCACCCATGCCACTTTTAACAGGCTTTTAAAGTAAAGGGGCCAGCCAGACGGTTCAGCAGGTAAAAGAGCTTGCAGCACAAGCCTGACCAGCAGTGTTCAATTCCCAGAACCCACATAAGAAAGCTGAATGCTGTATGATCCCAGCACCCTACAGTAAGATGAGAGCCATGGGCCAAGTAACCTGGGATATAGAGGATGGCAGAAACAACATGAGAGACCACTTCAACAGGGTGGATGGAAAGAACCAATCCTGAAAGTTGTCCTGACCTCCATGTGTACACCCACACTCACACACTAAAAAGGAAAGGGAGGGATGGAGGGGTGGAAGGAAGGAAGGTGTCCTAGTTTGTTTCTTCATTGCTGTGACAAAACACGCTGACCACTACCAACTTGGGGAGGAAAGGGTTTATTCAGCTTACATCTCCCAGGTCATAGTTCATCCAGGAGCCCAAGGTAGGAACTCGGGGCAGGAACCTGGAGGCAGGAGTTGGAGCACGGGCCATGGAGGAATGCTGCTTACTGGCTTGCTCCCCTGGTCCCTGCTCAGCCTGCTTTCTTATGCAACACAAGCCCACCTGCCCAGGGGTGGCACCACCCACAGTGGGCTGGGCCCTCCCACATCACTCATCAAGAAGATGCCCCTCAGACATGGCCACAGGCCAGTCCAATAGAGGAAATTCCCCAGTTGAGGCTCCCTCAACCCAAATGTGTCAAGTTGACACTAAAACTATCCAACACAGAAGGGTTGACTAACCTGTCTTGCCCATGAGGAGACCAGTTTACAATCCAGAGCCAGGCTCCAGGCCCCAGGCACGCAGGGCAACCCTGCAGCCCAGTGTAGTTGCTAGCACCACACCTTCTCCAGGGCTGCTGCTGGTCAGAGCCACAAAGGCCCTGGGTTCCACCTTCATATCCAGGCTGCCACCAGCCTAGACCAGAGTCTGGGCTCTCTTCCTTGTTGCTGGAAGGAATTCCGCCCAGGGTCTCATCTCACAGACAGGGAGGCTCATGCATTTCAGCCCCAGCTTCTCTGGACCTCCAGCTGATTCTCATGGCTCATGCATTTTCATTCAGTTGGAGAGTCGTCATTTGCCAAGAAAGGTCCCTATCCCTGTGGAATGGCAGACCCCATTAATGTGCAGTGTCATCACTTTCGCCACTGTTGACCTTGCGAACCATTAGCTGATGGACTATTGTTTCCTTTTCCTGTCACTTTCGAAGTCTGGAATTCCCCTGATCCTTCCCTGGATACCCCAGATTCCTGGGACACCTCAGGCCTCCACCATTCTGTGGAGGCACCTCTAGCCCCTACTCCAACAAGGAAGCATAACCCTCACCTGTGTTCTTATTCAACAGCAGGAGACAAGCAGAGCTCATTGGCCATAGGCACACCTTCCAGGAGGTCAGGACCCCCCCAGGGGCGGTGGACATATCACGGTGGAGCAGTAGTCCTGTGACACCGAGGGGCTCACCCTTCCATGGTCTTGGAGACTTCTGCCTTGACCATGTAATGACTGCTGCATCACAGTTCCTGTGGGAGGGAACACTGGTTCACCAGGGATGTAGGAACTTGACGATTGTCACAAAAGCAGGTGTGGAAGGGACATTCTCCAGCCACCAAGAGGGTGACTTGGGTTGTCTTTTCAGATGCAGCCCTTTGACCTCTTGGGAATCACCATCAAGTCTCTGGCAGAAATTGAAAAGGAGGTAAGTACACGACCTCTCCAGGCCTGGGTCATTGCTTACTCCCCTAGGGTCCCTGTCACACATCAGGGTCGGTTCCAGGAATGGCTGGTGGGAGAAGTCCTTCTGAGGAAAAAAAGACCATTTTAATCGGACTTATTCCTTAGAAAAAGTGAGTCACTTTGAACACACCTGTTACTTGCAGTGGACCAGCACCTTGTCTTCTGTAAGTCAGAGGTTCGAAGCCCAGTCAGAGCCATGAGGTCGGTTCCACTGTTTAAAAAAAGTCTCCACTTCATGGAGGTGTCAGGAGCAGAACAGACACAGGTATCTTCCTTTCCTCCTGTGTCTGATCATTTGCTGTGGGAAGGGTCTTGGGGATTTAACCAGACTTCTTTATGACTCAGAGGAGGGTCCAAGGTCCCTCACACTTGGTTATCCAGACCCTCATTTGGTAGGCTGGTTTTAGGGCATGTGGGCATTTTCCTGATAAATTAGAAAGACATTGAGGATCAGAGTGGAAGGAGAGCTGGGGGCGGGAACAGGCCTGAGACAGTGGGGTGCACAGGAGGCCAAGCCTGCTAGACTGTCCGCTGTTCACAGGATCTGCATCCTCCATGCAGAGGAGGCTGTCACACAGTCACATGCTGCAGCCAGTGCTCCTTGGAGAGAAACATTTGTCTCAAAGATGGAAATGGTAGAACCATTTCAATATCCTCAGATCCTTAGGGTTTTCTCTTATGTACCCAACCAGCAGAAGCAGGTTGCATTATTGAAAGATGGCTGGAATCAAGGAAAATTGAATCAATGCAGTACAACAAATTTCTAAACCTGTCAGAGCAAGAACAAGACAAAAAACTCCCCTTTTGTCTTTGATTTTCAGTAAATCATAAAAACCTGATTGTCACCTACAGTTCTGTTTGCTGGCTGGCAACAGGGGAAATGGCTGACCACAATGTTAGAAATATAGATGTGTATAGACTTCCACATCTGCCCTTAAAATCGAGGTAGCTGTGGCCAGTTTTGAGGTCTGCCTGCTTACGAACAGCCTTTGCAAGGAGCCACGCACAGGGCAGGGCTCTGCACGGGTTAGAGCCTCATGAGTACCTAGGGGAGGCTTTGAGGTGGGCTGCTTCTGCAGTGGGAAAACGGGGCCCTGGCACCCTAAAGACAGGCAGCTCCAGTGTCTGTGTGACCTTGGTCTGACTGCCTGACCCAGGCAGGTTGCCTCCCTGTCTTTGGGGTGGGGGGCACAGGAGAACCCATGTCATGGGACACTTGGTGAGTGCTGTGTGAACAGGTGACCCTTGCTGTGCTTTACATCCTTACTGCTCCACTCTCCCCACATCCCCTTCTTTTCAAAACTATTTTATGTGTATGAGTGTATTGCCTGCATGTGTGTAAGTGCACCATGTCGTGCAGTTCCTGTGGAGGTCTGAAGAGGGCATTGGATCCCCTAGAACTGGAGTTAAAAGTGGTTATTAGCTACTAGGTGGGTGCTGGGAACTGAACCCGGGTCCTCTGCAAGAGCAGCCAGTGCTCTTAACCGCTGAGCCACCTCATCTTCTTTAGGGCAGCTTTAATATAATTTGGCAGCAGATTCAGGCCTGTTATTTTTATCACTAAAAACAAGAAACAGAACCAGACTCTGTCAACTGAGATGGCACTCCTTGGCCGCTGACAACAGGCGGTGGATAGACAATGCTTCATGCACTGATGCTGTGGTTTGGGTACTAGAGAAAAGGGGGTGGTTATCCCCAATGCCAAACTTCCTCCTTTGCCAGTGGGCCCTGACACTTGCATCTTCTATTTAAGCACCTGCTGTGTGCATAACCCTGGCATTTCTGGACATTCTCATTTGTTCTCACTCCGAGTGGCCAAGTGACCTCCTCCTTCCCCCTTTTTGAGGAGTAGAAAGTGAGGCTCCGGAGTGACTTACCCAAGCAAGATGGAGTTCTAGTCCTTTCCTTGTGGCTGGAAGTCTGTGGGTCTATGTCCTTTGAAAGTGGCTATCTGGGGACAGTAGGGCGACGTCCCATTTAGGGCCCAGGTGTGTGGGAGCAACGCTAACAGTCTAGGCTCTCCCCCACCTCAAGGGCTGGAATCTGGCCAGGATCTTCTTGCAGTGTGTGTTCTTGTGTGTGTGGCTTCCCTTCAAGACATAGCACTGAGGGCCTCATCTCAACTCTTCTGTGCCTCAGTTTCTTTTTCTGTCAAATTGGGGTTGTAACGAAAATACCCCAGTACTTACGGGGCTCAGCTGAGACTGTGGGGAGCACAGCCGTCATCACCATCACTCTGTCCTCCTCTCCATGGGTCAGGGCACAAGGCAGTGTTCACCCACCCCAGTCAGCAGCCTCAAGTTGCTGGTGAATTACATTAAAGCTGCTTTAAAGACGATTAGGGAAAGGGTGAGAGGGAAAGCAGTAAATAGGATGTAAAAACAAAGCAAGGGTCACCATGGGTGGGAGTGCCTGGGGTCTGTCACTGACTGAAGGTCACCTATATCCATGTGCCGCATGTCATGGTGAACAGTGCCTTCCTGCGACCACCTCGGGGTTCCATGTGAGCATGCCTGGCATTGCCTCTCCTAGCCTGAGCTCAGTATTGCTCCTAGGACTTCGAGACCCAAGGAGACCACCTGCTGCTGTGGCTTCCGTCCTCAGGCCGAAGAGCAGGAAGGGGTCTTCTAGAGTAAGCCAGGTATCCCAGAGCTTGCAGGCTGTCCCTGGGCCAGGACATTTGTTTTTCTCTTCATTCCCAACAGGCCTTGCTGTCCTTGGTGAGGGGCCCCAGCATCTCCGTTTGGAAATTTGCTTTGTTCATTGTCACGGTTGTATTTTACTCCCAATAAACCACCCTACCCCCGAAAAAACAAGCTAGGATGGGCAAGACAGATAACTACCTTTTTAAAAAAATTTTATTTTACATGTATGCCTGTATTGCCTGCATGTAGGTAAGTGCACCCATGTTGTGCAATGCCCGCAGAGGACAGAAGAGGCTGTCAGATCCCCTGGAACTGGAGTTACAGACAGTTGTTAGCTGCCATGTGGGTGCTGGGATTCAAACCTGGGTCTTCTGCAAGAATAGTCAGTGTTCTTAACCGCTGAGTCATCTCTCCAGCCCCATGACCAGTCGTTAAAGGCTCAGGCTCACAACCATAAAATGACTACTTTTTAAAAAAAAAAAAAAAAAAAGGTGGTTATATACACCTTTAATCCCAGAATTCAGGAGACAGAGGCAGGCAGACCTCTGTGAAAGTGAGGCCAGCCTGGTCTACGTAGCAAGTTCCAGGCCAGCTGGGGCTATAGGAGAGACTCTGCCTTAAAAAACAAAACAAAAAAAATTACATGTATTTATTTGGGGAAGGCTGTGCCACCGTGTCATGTGGACATCAGCTGACAATGTGTGGAGGCTGGCTCTCTGATACCATCTGGTTTCTGGGGGTAGAACTCCAGTCATCAGGGTTGACTGCAAATGGCTTTACCAACTGAGCCATCTGAACCAGCCCAGATCACTGTCTTTGAGTTTGGGGCACAGACTAACAACCCACATGCTTCCTAGGGGCCTGCCCTTGGCTCCTCTGCACAGTGGGAGCGGGGTGTCTAGCCAGGGGCTGCCCTGTGCTAGGTGTTGGGAAAGTACTTCCTCTATGGGCAGAAATGGCATCCATCCACCCCAGACTGACGTCTAGTGACCTGCCAAAGTCTCTGCCAACAACTGAGCTGTTACCAAGTGGTCCCAGTAAAAACAAAAGGTCCAGGCATGGCCCTGACTGGATGTATCATTGTCTCCTCTCCTGAGGGGGTCAGAGCTTAGAACAGAATGCCCATTCCCGAAGGCAGCCTATCAGTCTGTCCACCTAACATCAGACTGGGTGTACTTTCCTGCCATCCTACCCAGTCTGGGGGACTTTCTTGGGCTCAGTTTCCAAGTCCCATCTCTGCTAGTTGTCCTCAGGAGCTGGTCTACCCATGGAGTTGCTGATCTTGTCATCTGAGCATGCCAGGGACCAAGCACGAGCAGGGAATGCCAGTGCCTAAAGGCACACACCAACTTCCCTGGTGTCCCCACCACAGCCTGGACCCACCAGGTCTGGCACTGAGTAACCACAGCTGGAGGGACAAGGTGTTACCCTGGTCATGGTGGGCAGTGGTACCTCCAATCCCAGAAGCCTGACAAGTTCAAGGGAGAGTATGACACATCCTGATAGGCAGGGACAGCCACGAGCACAAAGAGGGTAGCGTGTACGGCTGACTGCACGGCTTGCCCAGCAGCACTCAAACCCCAATTGTGCACAGAGTTCTTGGTGGATGCACTGATGGTGAGGGGGACATAGTGTTACAGGCAGGACATGGGTCCACAGTCTACATGCCTGTGGTCAGGTGCCCTTAGGTTTGACTCCAGGCACATCCCTTAGTCTCACCACCTCAAGCTGAGCACAGGTCCCCTGGACCCACACACGGTGCATGGTATCACCATGGGGCACCTCACAGCTGGCAGAGCATCTCGAAATGACTCCACTGCCACAAACCAAGGGTTTCCCCACCCCCAACAGGTGGCATGCACAGCCCTCAAGTTCCAAGAAGACACTCAGGAGGGGGGTGGCGTTTTAAAGTTAGTACGCATGCCATCTAGCAGATTTTAGGGGGGAAGTCAGTGTAAAGATGAAATTCCTCTCCATTCAGGCAGCGTCTGAGGTGTGGGAGGTAGAAAATGAACAAAGCTGTGATTAATAAAGTAATTCAGATGCAAAGGCTATCACTTTCCTGGCTCACAATGATGTGGCACAGCCTCCTGTCTGCTCACCTCCAGAAAACCCTCATGCATCCGCTGCACAGAGCAGCGCACCTGTCATCTAGGGCAAGAGAATGAAGTTTTGCTGTGCCCTCTCACCACAAGAAGTGACCAAGGAGCCACAGGAGGGTTTTCTGGCCTGCCCTGGCCTTGTCCCCTTGCTCCCATAGCATTGATCTGCAGGAGGATGGTGTGGGCCCTGTGGGGCTGCTCTTCCCACCAAGCCT